AACTAATGGGAGAGATTCTCTTCTTCACCCTAGGAGACTGCTATAAAAACATGAGGGTGATGGGGATGGTAGAACCGCAGACAAAGAAAGAAGTAATTTCTCTGACACAAGCCATTTTTTCCCTGCTCATTAAGAGCTGTAACAGGAAACTCTAGAACAGAGTTTGCTGTGGTTAAATGGTCTTTGCCATTTAAGTATACCTGTTCATAATTTTGTTTTCTTTGCTATGTCTACAGTTGTTCCTTCTGTTTATGCATCTGCTTGTCACAACAGCCTTGGATGGTCACCACTGGAGAGCCACCAGGGCTTTAATAAGCCCCAGCCTTTGGCTCTCACATAATGCCACACCAGCTGAGCTTTGGCAGTGTGTACTTGCAGAATCTATCCTTGCATCCCACAGTTACAGCATCCCTTCTCCCTTCCCTTTTCCTTCCACACATACTGGTACCATTTCTTAGCAGTGGGACTCTGCAAGAGCTGTTGCCTTCAAACTTGCTAAATTTCCTCTGTTATCTATGTATAATCCATAGACTTTGGGGCACATTTACTGATTTGTATTTCCAGAGCCATAGGGTAGGTTATGAAAAGAACAGCAGCTTGAGGGGAGTGGGAGGAGGGTGTATGTGGAGAGACACATGCCAAAACAAGACTAACTTCTAATGTCAAAGCATAAATGTTGCTTACCTTTAGGCAAAACAAGAAATGCTAGTGGTTTTTTTCCCTAATGTCCATGCTTAGGATTTTTGTTTGTTTGTGTTTGTTTTTTTTAATAAGCTCTGGGTTGTTTGCTGTGTAGATGGGAAGCCCATCTCTACCAGCCGCAGTTCTGTTGTCTGGAAATGAAAGGGAAATTTAGAGAAGATGCTCTTCTCAAATAAAGTTTCTGCCTCCTTACAATGAATAAGTGACCAGACTTAGCATTGCAGTTAGACAGTGCCTGCAGTGCAAACAGAAAAAACAGTTCTCTTGCATACAAAATATCGATCTGGAGGTTGGCCTCTAGTGAGAAGACAGCCACCATAATCGTCTTGTGTTTTCCCTTCAGAGGTTATCAGACTTTACAGTAAACTACATGAGTCTTAGGCTGTCAAGCAAAAGTTATATTTAGATCTAGGTTGCTCTGGCCACCCCTGTGCTCAGTCTACCTCCATCATACAGTAGAGCAGAGGTCAAAGATTGAAAGATAGCTAAGATGATCTTAACCCCAGGGTCAGAAGTAGACAGGTCATCCATACAAATGAATGATTGCATTCAAGACAATAAGAGACAGGGCTTCCTAGTTGGTTGTGCTAGCAGAAGTGTACTGCTTTGGGGTCTGGACTGAAATTGGTTGTTATATGGACATAGAGATTTGACTTTACCAGCCTGGATGTTTCTGCAGAACTGATCATTGTATAGTGCAGGCTTGCCTTTGGAATAGTAATGTCCTCAATTTTTATTTTAGTGCTTGGGGTTTTATACCTCCTTTTCTGTTTTTAATCACTTTCATAGGTGTTTGTATCTTCATTGTGAGTTTCCACTGAGATGCTTCCAACTAATTAGTTCTAATAATTACAGTACAACTTTACTTACTAGTTATATTTTAATTACTTGTTACTATTAGGGGGTTTCTGAATGCCTTTCTTGACCTCTTAAATAAAAAACAAAGCCAATTCTGTCCTTTATAGAAAATAAAAATCTTATCTGAACAAGAACTTGGATTAGGCTGAATATGATGATGTTTTTTGTGCTTTTGGAAAACTTTCCTTTCCAGACCTAAACAAGGCTGCAAGATCACAAGAGATACCCTTTCAACATAAAGTTCAGAGTCTGTTTTTGAATGCTGCAGGACAGCCAAGAAAAGAGAAAGTGAAATTACCATCATCCCTTCAGGGGACAAAACCAAACTCCATACCAAATAAAAAGGTAAAATAACATCTTTGTTGTTAATATTATTATCCTCTTAGTCATCTCATTTGCATAAAATCTTCACTGTCTAGCAATAGTGGAAGGCATTTTGAATCTGTTTACTGAAACACAGTGGTTGCAATTTATGTATAAGTTCACTGGCAATTCTAAAAGTACCTTTGGTCTCAACTGCTAGGACAAACTCGTATGTCAAAAGTATAGTTCTGCACCAGGCACCCACATGAAAGCTCTGATCTTTTGGAAAAGATCTTTCCTCTATTCCCCCTGAGATGTCTCACATTAATATGTCAGAAAACTCAAACCAGTATAGATTAGCAGACAGTATTTCAAGGACTGCTTCAGTTTTTACTCAAATCAGGATGTCTTTCCGTGATTCTACTCAAATCAGGATGTCTTTCTGTGATTCTACTCAAATCAGGATGTCTTTCCGTGATTCTTCAGGATAGACAGAGGTCAAATGTAGGTTAAGTAACTCTGAACCTAACTTGATGACCACCAACTTTCTATATTGTCTAATATTTTAATTCTGTCTACAAAGATAGAAGATCCTGTTGCAGGGAAGGTCAACACATCATCTCTTGCAACAAGAAGACAGAATCTTAGTGGCTTCCATCTCATTCCACCCAAAGTGACACTTGGAGTGCTAAAGGAAGGCTGCAGCTATGCAGCCACTGTAATCCTGAAGAATGTTGGTGTGAACTTCTTAAGGTTCGTTTGAATTTTTAGTAACTTGGTTTATAACTGTCCAAATATGCATTGCTTGTTGTCAACCTTTTGATCCGATTAACATGAGATAACAAATGGTATTGTTATATTTTGAATCATTTTATAATGACTGACTGGATAGAGGAGAGGAGACAACATTAGAAATATTTCATCATTATTTGCATATTAGTGTTATTGGAAAGATGGAAAGCAGTAAGGTACAGCAGGTCCTGTATGCAGAGTCCTGGCCCATCATAGATGATTTTCTGTTTTTTATTGAAGTTCTCAGGTTCAGGGACCAAAATATTTCATGGTAACCAGAATTACATTTGGCTGTGGGAAATGCTGCTGGATGCTGCTGTCAGACAGTCTAAACAGGCACAGCTGTATTCATGCAGACGCATGTCTTCAGCTGCATTAAGCAACAGCTCCAGTGATGACACTAGGAACAAACAGAAGATGAGGATGAAATAAAGCATTTATTTGTGCACACATTTCCCTTACTCAGTGTCACCTCTGTCAGTGTGTGGGACAAAATAGCACTGCACTGTGTTCCAATGGAGTGAGGATAAGGAAGTCCATTTCTAAGTCTACAGTTCAGCAGACTGTCTCTTGCCCTGCATGACAAATCACAGGAAATAACCATATTTACCCAGCTCCTGTTTAAAGAATATATAAATACAGTAAGAAAATGCTCACGATTGCTCTTCTGTACTAGAATTCCCCTCTTGAATGACTGTACACATGTTGTTTCAGTCACTTCTGCACCAGCACGGTTCCAGTGGTTTTCAGGCAGGTGTGCTTATGACCCCTGTCCTCCCAGGTGCCACACATCTGAGAGAAAAGAGGGCAAAGCATATTCCTCCCACTCAGTTTGCTCAACTGCACTTGCCTTAGCAGTGCTATATATATATATATATATCTTGCTTTTTAGCTTTAAGGGAGAGCTTGCAACAACAGTCTCTAAGTCCTCACAGGTTCTGGGCTTCCACCTACGGTCTGTCACTTCAGAACAGCTTCACTTGAATGGTCATAATCCCACCAGATGGTTTCAAGAATTGCAGTAGTTCGTGAGCAGCTTTCATTTCAGACGGGTCAAAAGCCCCCAAACCAATCTTTTTTTAAATTCCTGTGTTCTAAGATAGCTATTCCCACTGAAGTTTTCCCATGTCATCCTCTCACCCCACCTATCCTCAATTACCTCCTGCAGCTGGAGAGGTTCTTAGTTTATCTTGCAGTTAACTGAAAACTGCTATTTAGGCCAACCTCATCCATTTGTCTTAGTGGAGAGTTACATACTGTTTCTTAAGAAACTTGGAGTAAGCCAGGCTTAGAGTACTTTTGTTATTTTGGCCTTTTTCCTGCTAGACCCACAGGTACCAGGAAAGCAAGGCTAACTGAAAGGATGGAAATAAACATCCTCCTGTCGTGTTGGTCTAGATCATTTGAAAAGCTGGTTCCTCTTCTTAGCACTGGTTAAGGAAAACAGTAACGAGAGCATTAAATATTCTTGAGCTCAAATGTGCAAGTCTCATGGCCCTGATGTGCTGCACCTTCTAGATGTTCTTTCTTTGGAGTGTTCTTCACATGAGCGAGCACCTGCCCAATTTCCCTTTTCTGGATGCAGGTGACCTACAGTTTGATGTCCTCTTTAAAAAGAAAGTCTAGAGTGGCATCACAGTGACACTATCTCAGCAGTCACAGCATCCCTTTACTGTGATACCAAAGTGCTGGCAGGAACTAAACAAACATTTCTGGCTGACATTTGTTGTTCCTCCTTCTTGGGTAGCTAATTATCATCAAAACAGGAGGCGACAGGAGACTTGGCCTGCTGGGATCATCATGATCTTTTGAGTACTTCAGAAATCTGTTCAGGACCAGCTGAGAGACTACCGTACAACATCTTCCATCAGGATGGATGGCAGGGATGATGATTTTTTATTTTTAATCAGCCTAGTTATATATGACATCAAAGAGCCATTTTTCCCTTTAATGCACATTTAAGCCTCATGGTGCATGCCATGAGAAATCAGCAGAGCACATACCAATGTTCTAAAGCTCAAGATGTGCACATTACATTTTTTTGTCATGCCAGGGCACTATATGTAGACAGTCAAGGAAAATAGCATCATGATTCTATAAATCCAGCTTATCTTTTCAGCCTTTTACTTGGTGCTTTGAGAGGAGAGCTAAGTGACGAGCTACGGAATGACAGCAGAACATGCCGAGGGGAGGGATAGGACCAATGGTGGGCAATTCTGAGCCGTGTGTACCTCATGCTGAAGCCAAAACTTTTCTGTGACAGGGTCAGTAGTTAACTATGTGCCTTCCAAACTGTCCTTACCATAGTCTGAACTCATTGGGACATCCTGACAAAAATCAAGTCCAGTTTCTCGTAACAGCAGCACTCCAGAGAAAAAGCAGAAATTCTGACAGTCAGTTTGTAACTCTGCCAGAGCTTTCCATAGGGTGGAGCTGTACACCAGGAAT